GTGATCAATTTGTTTTTTCTTATATAGTCTTTTAATAAGCTTGAAATCATTTTTTTTTGTTCATGTGTTATTCTTTCATATCTAATATTAGTATATTCAAGTATTTTGTCTTTTTTGATTTTTTCCTTCTCAATAAGCTAGCGAGACTTTAATATTTTTTACTAGCCCTTAATATCATCAATTGTTTTTGTATCTGTCACATCTTTAATCAAAGGAATACTTGTCTCTTGTCTTTCATTTACACCTTTAATTTTGTCATTAGCTTCTTTTTGTTTAGAAGTTGTCAAACCATTTGTATCTTTAAAATTTCATAAAATTTTACTAAGCTTAATAGTGTCTTGCAGCAAGGAGAATTGTTTTTTGTCGAATTTCTTTTTCCTATTTGTAATTGTGTTAAGAATCTTTTTAAAAAATATATTTTTATTTGCTGCCTAAATTATTCTTTCGGCTATTGCATCCTAGCAATTATCTATTTGATTCAAAGGCTTTGAAGCAGTGCTGTTTTCTCTGTTTAGTAGCTTTTGGATACTTTTTTTGCTTTTCAGATAATTTTATAAATCTTGTTTATAATTTTCCTAATCATTTTCAAAAGCTTTGTTATATATGAACACTTTTCATAGAAATTTTTTCCTCTTAATTTGTGCTGCTTGAGTAAATTGTAATAGATTAACTAGTGTAAGTTTAGTAAAGATCAAACTATGATCACTGTTTGTTATATAGATTGCTTTCTATATCTCAGCCTTTTGTGTAGTAATGGACAGGTCTTCTGAAACTTATATTTAATCAATTCTTATTTTTTTGGTTACTATTTAACCATGTATAAGCTTTGGCATATGGGTTTAAAATTCGAAATGTGTCATGAAAATCTTGGTTTTTAAGCTATTTGTGCAGTGGCAATTTCTTTTTGTTTGTTGCTATTGAGCCCACACTCAATCGATCTAATTCTACATCTATCGTATAGTTAAAGTTTTCTATTATTATAAACTGAGAGACTATTTTTCTTTTTATAAATCTATTTATAATCTGCTATTGTATTTTTTTCTCTTGCTCCTTATTATTAGAAGGGATATATAATATTATAATTGTTATTTTTAGTTGTTTAAAGAAAAGTGTTGTCTCTATCATATATTCATCTACATATGTGACTCTTACTGCATGTTTTGCCCAGACTTTCCTTATTAAAAACTCTACACTAGAATCTTTTTTTTTGGTTTTATTTGCATCTAACCAAAAGCTTATAAATTGGTCAT